CGAGCGAGTAGAACTAACCCGGACATAGTTACGCTTCTTGCAGTACGTAGGTTTCACCACATCTTAGGTGGTACACCGTGTTTTCATTTGGTGGACGCCTCACGCGTCTGTACGGGTTGTGGTGGAGTATGCCTGAGATACCGTGCGGCATCAGTTGCTACATAAATTTTAAAGTGTTTAAATATTGACTTCATACAGAGTTCATAATTATTGTCAGTATATATGTATGTGTATATATATATATATATATATATATATATATATATATATATATATATATATATATATAGGAGTAGTGTAAGATGTGCATAACGTTCCTCTTTGTAGCTTTGTTATTTTCGTGTTGATGCTTTTTGTGCTTCTGTGTGTAAATGTGTTAATTGTGAATATGCGTCTATATGCCATTTTACCGTAATGAATATTTGAACGACAATGTATTTGCTTGTTCACGAGCAGATGTGCCGCTTATATAATGCGCAATGATACCGTTGTTTTACTATACCGCTGTATCGCCGTCGACACGATCGCGGTACTTAATAAGTTACCATGGTCCTCCTAAGTATCTTCAAATAATGCTTCCTAAAGACAAAAAAAATATTGATTTCTTTCATAATATTTAAGGGCGTATACGCAAGAAATCTTACTAGCAACGGCGTAGTTGATAGTATTTTTTGCGCACGTTCAGAACTAACAACCTCCAAGATCATCTCGGATCACTCCGTACCGACAGAAACAATAAGTCATATTTGTTATTGTCAATGATCTAAACGAAAAAAATTATACGTATCCGGGCTCGCATGTGTTAGGATTTCTCAGTACAACAGGTGTTTATATACTATATTAAGTACAGCAGAATGAAAATTTTCAGCTATTTCACTAACTTGCTAATCTTTGGCTACAACTTACTGGAAAATTTCTTTTTTATCACGTCGATAGCTAATAGAGCATTGTATAAATACTAGATGGAGTCAGGTGATAATTTCTTTATCTATATATATATATACATACAATGCAAGATAAGGTCTATCAGATAGCACGTATTCATAATGAACGTCTCTACTGACTTAAACCTAGTTCGTCAGGTTTGTTGATGGTGTCTTCCTGCATCACCTTTTCGATGACACCAGTAGGTTAATTACTTGACTATTGTACTAATCCAATGAGAAATTTTAATTGACTAAATTCCCTCAGCAATGTAATCTGTGCCTATGGCCATTCATCGGCAGACATTTAGAGGCTGTTAAAGTCAAGTGTGTATTACTCCCTATCCGGGTCACAACACCAACTCACAAGGCTACCATGACTTTTTTCCAGTTAGGCCTACCACGCGAAGCGACACGCAACAAATGATTCCGAACTCTTTAAAGTTTTAGTTATCCTTCTGACGACGACTCAGTCAGGGATATCTGACGAATGTTCATGTCGATAGCATCTTAACGAATTTTAATTAGCAGAAGTTTTTGGGATAAATCACGAGAAGGTCAATCTGAATACTCGAGGGATGGCAATCAACTAAAATATTATATAGCAATACTAGATATCTCGTCAGTCCTTGGAATTTTGTTAGCGGCCGCTGTTGTTCGAGTATCCTTCGCATCCATTCACGAGGTAAACAGACATCAAAGAGGAACTCTATTGGCGTGAGGTTTCGTTACGAACGTTTTTCCGTCAGATCCCGAACATCCGATCATTACGCGTTTGTGGAAGTTATGCTTCTGCGCCACTTGGGTGCGTGCTGTCGAAAGATGGGTCGTACGCCCCACGAAAAGTATTTAGTAAAATAGCCACATTCTCGATGGTCACTTATAAAAAAAAAAAGAAGTATTTACTACATTTCTATATAGGTGTAACCCTCTTCGTATTGGGAAGAAGGCGCAGCTAATCATATCAACGTGTTCGAGAAGAATTTTTCTTCTGTGGCCAACATTTCTCAGTGTTATGATTATCGGTATTGCGAATGGCAAACTTATTATGATTTGCCTCGCAATAAGTTTATCATTCTGAAAAGATTTTCTTACGACACCCTGCTCGTGTAAATAATTACGGACTTGTCCTTCTAGCTTCTGGATACGCCTTGTCAAAGCCTTGCTTGCATAGTCGTCTGACTGTGTCCGGTGTCATTAGGGTATCCTTGCCGTCGACTGACGTGGACTACAACCAGAACGCTTGCATTTTAACAGGCAGTTGACAATGTGCGATGTCATAAACTCCTGTCGTTACACAAGTTGTAGGTTCAAGGCTTTCCTCTTTCGCCCTTAACCGATTAACGTTTCCAAAATGACAAATCTCTGTTGCTCTGCAGATTGTTAACTCGATCTTTGAGATTCCGCACGGTTGGTTTTCTTCTACGACAGCCGCTGTAGGGGACTATCCGTCTGCGAATGCCCCAACAATCTACAACTGTTTGCCTGCCATATTGGATAGTGAGTGACATGTCAACAAGTGGTGGCTACTTGAAGCTCTAGCAAAGGATTCCAACGTTAAATCCTGCTTCACCATATTCAGCCCATTCTTCTCATCATCACCATCATCGCTCGTGTTGTTTCCGTCATTCGACGTATTATACGTAAGTCTCACGTAAACTAACCAAATTATTATACGGTGTCTCTGGCCGGCTGGCTGCTTGACGTAGCCATTGTCTGTCCTACTGCTAGGTAACGGGCAAACAGTTAGACATAAGATACAGGAGTTGTCCGCTGTCCGGTTTTACCTGACTGTATGAATAATAATTACAATAATGCTAACTCCATAACTTCTGCAGTAATAATAATAAAAATAGATATAATAATAATAATAATGATTTTAGGGATATTCACAATAATAGACACTTTAGTCAGATCCGACAGAACATGTTTAGCTTGCACATGGGTTTTTTAGATTTTTTATATAACGAATCCTAACGATGATGGGAATGTCCTTTCAACGATGCCCAATACATCTGACCCAGTGGTCAGCGCGAGGCGCAAATAAGCGAAGGGCAATTCACACAACAGGGATATCTCAGCATCGTGGCTCTTGTCTCATGTGCGATCACCCTTTTGCTTTTGCTATGTCTTGCAAGTTAGTTATAACGTTTCGTTATGGGGCATCATTTGTGTTCATACCTTTCTCATCGAGTGCTAAGGACCTACTTCTTTTTGTGCCTATTTTACTTCTGTGAATTGGCCTTTTTAAAGCCCTTCTCTGGAATATCTATTTTGCGTAGTTTCACCCGAGACAAAAGTTCCAGTTGCGTTGTACCCTTCAAGCTGCTAAGATCTCGCTCGTTGTACTCGTTCGCAAATTGTCTGTATGTGATAATAAGATTACTATTTAGGATGACACTATTATTTTCTGTTTAACATTTCATTATCATTTTTCCAATTTCAATTTGCAACACTGGACAATAATGATGATGGATATGGTGGTAGTGGGGGTGATGATTTTCTCTGAAAATCTGAGAAACTCTGTGTGGGGGGCTTCGCGCTCCATGGCCACCTTTCAGCCACGCTTCATCCAAGCACCCATTCTTCCTTCAGATTAGCAAAAGACATCTGGTTTTCGGAAATCGATGCCGCCTTTATTTTGACACTCAACGTTTTCACAGCGAAATAAAGTTCTTCCTCTTTTCATTATAGCTTAGAATTGCCACCGTCTCCTGGACAATAAATGTGCTATTTAGAAACGCTTTGTCGACGACGCAATTATTGCCCACCGTAGCGTAGTAAGAAAATTGTACCTGCTTTTTTGTACTGAAGGCTTGCAGATGTGCAAGCGAGTGAATAGGTTTTTTTTTTTTTCTTATAGTCACTTCATTCTTGTTCCTTCATTTTTGCCTATTATGTCATTCATGCATATCCTTCATTTACGCGTTTGGGTCTCCCGCGTATGAGTACGCCTTCCAGCTGTGCTGCATACAGATATGCACACGCGGTAGCTAGGCTGTATCAGTACAGTAATAGCCTTTGTGTAGATACTGGTAAATGCTTGTAGATTCCACAGGGTCGATCAGACGCGTGGGGCTTCCAGTGCAGATAGATGATTCCGTACGTTTGTCTTTCTGACGCCAATACTACCCAATTAAGAGCACATGAAAATCAAGCTCTGATTCGTTTCTTTCTTGTTGCCATGATTGTTATTAATTGATAAATGACGAGTTGTGGATGGTCAACATAGCCGTCGCCAGAAGCACCATCAGTGTGCCCTTATAAACGAGGTAGGCGTGCGTTTGTGGCAGGGGCGCGAGCCGTCCAGCAATAATGCATATGAATCACTAGATAGTTATCACCATCATCGAGAATCGTTTGCTCACAGATCTCTCATAATCTCTTTTTTTTTTTTTTTTTTTACTGAGATTGCTTGAGTAACAGAATTAACGTTGGGCAAATGCTTAGTTTGTTGGACACATATGGGGATCGGAAGGAAGGAGGGAATAGAAGGCGGAATTGAATGGAAACGATGACAAAGCGTTTCGTTAATTGATCTGTCTTTTCCACTATGTCTTATTATTTTCTTCTGCAATCAGAATCGAAGTACTTCTGAGTAGTAAACGGCAGGTTTATGAGCGGAGTAATGATCACTTAAGACATTAGAATAAAATTCTATCTTATTTTATGTGAATACAATGCACATGTATATGTTTGTGTACCATATATTAACAACGGAAACAAGTGCACATGTGTGGCAAGTGAGCGACTGAGTTATTTCCCTAGATTGTTTTCTTCTCATTAGTTTCTACCTCGTAGATTTTCCGTCTATAGTCTTTTTTATTCTATCTAATATCCCGAGAGAACTCGTTATTCACCAAAACAAAGTCGCTATGACGCAAATATAACGTGAAGTCGCTGAAGTGATTGAGTGGGAAAACTTTGATATGGATGGTATTGAGGCTTCATAGGTTTACTTTTTGCAGCCAAAGTTAAATTATTGAATTTACTATTAAGATTTGATGGTGCTATTATTGCGTACTACTGTATTGTTTTAAATTTGTGTCGCTAGGTTGATGAATTTTTTTCTTTGTCCGAAGCCTTTTTTTTTTTTTGCTTGACACGCGCGTAATCGGCGAGCATGTCTATGGTATATGTGTTGTTGTTAATATTGCTATTGTTCTTGTCGAAAGATTGCTCGAATATGGGCGCAGCGAATTGCGGTTACTAGTTAATCAGTTTAATGAACTTAGTATTGTGGCTGTTGGAATTGTCCCTGGGGTTGAGTAGGCGACTGGGGAGGATAGTTGCTTCCCACCGGGGGATACTGTGAACCGGGAACGCCGGGCGGAAGTTGGTGCTGTTGATGGAACGCTGTGTCCTTGTATACGAACCACGTCCCAAACGCCCACAGCATCACGTTCGTGAAGCCAAGAAGCTAAATCAAAGATTACGATGATATGCAAACGAAACAAATGGAACATTTTAAAGTTTATAAGACAATATAAATGAGATAAGGGTTTCTTGGAGATATCCTGTGCAGTTAAGTTATACGCTCGAACTTATCTATTTCTGCTTGGTGAATTATGTTCATTCTGGGCAAACTGAAGAAACCCAATTCTTTTGGGACCGTTTGAGCAGTAGCATCCCTCTAGAGAACACAGTTTTTAGGGAACTAAGACTTAAAGTCGAAAATAGCGTTTTAGATAGCGATCCGATGCAGAAATAAGGTGTCTACGAAATCCTACGTACCACTGAGATATTGAGCGAAGAATAGTTCCCATATTCTTCCGCGGAGCAATTAATCGCAGTGAGGTTGGCACACACAGGGATTCGTTCTATGAGTTTATCCGGACTCATGTAATACTTAACGTCCGAGACGCCTTGAGCCCAGGCGCAGGATCCGGCAAACCAGAAAACCGTGAATACGGCCGTAACACCCATATCCTAATAAAAAATCGTCACTTTGTTGTCCGCATTACGTCTGTCGCATTTTGCTCTTATCACTACCACTGCTACCATTATAATATATGTCGATATAACAGAATCATTATGTTTATAGTCTTAAATTATATATCAGTGCAATACCTCTACACATTAATACTCACTGAAATTAATGACTGTATGTATGGCATAGTGTTGATTGAACCAGCTATGCATGACGGCAACACTAACAATGTACTAAAAAATGCTTGAAGAAATTAGAGTAAATGCCACGAAAACAGACTACGTTCAATGAGGAGTTCTCAATCAGCTTCTCGTGTACACCGTCCCATCCGTAAGGATGTATCTAAGTGTACATACGAACTTCGCAAACTTTGTGTCTCTGTGTTCAGCTCTACGTACAAGGATCGGTATGGTCTGATTGGTCTGGTAGAGTGCCGTTCGAAAGACGTAAACTGCAACAGCCGCGCAGCAAAACATGAACGAAAGTACGCCGCACGCCACGAAAAATTCTGGATTAGAAGACAGATTATACGGCAGGATCACGGTGTGGGAATCTACTCTCGAAGTTGACGAACAATCTTTGGGCACGTCGAATGGGAAGTACGCCATTCTGAAAAAGATGGAAATGACACAGATGAAAGCAGACACACAATGCTTCATTCGATATAAACAACAATCATACATACGCTTCAGGTAAAATTAGAAAAGTAAATGGGTAATGTATTAATCGCTCACTTCGAAATGACTGTTAGAACAATTCCAGTGACGGTAGAATAGATGTTTTTATAGTCATAAAGTATAGTCAAAAATGATATTACTGAATCAGGCATAACTTAATGACCGTGTTCAACGTTAGACACTTGGTTACTTAGAAGATCACCAATTTTGCTACTGCTAAATTCGAGGGTGCATTGAGATGAATTATTATTATGATTTCTGTAAAATTATTGGAATGGTTTAGATATACTAGTCCTGTTTGTTCTAGTGACTAAATCATGAGACTTAACTAACATAGAAGCTTTCTCTTCAACGACAATGATGTGCCCGTTTCGTAGAGCCTAAAATAAAAAAATCGATCTTTCAACTTGACTCTTAACGAATTTTCAACGCTTATCGAGCATGTAACTCGAAATTATCAATTACCTATACCGACATTACGCTGTATGAAAAGTATTCACCCGGCTGGCTTCCGCTCATGCGCAGCTGGCCCGAGGGTGAAACTCTAGTACCCCTGAAAACTCAGTTCTATGCGAAGAACCATTCGAAAAGAACTTGAGGCCAAAGTTTACTAAATAAGCGATTTCACAGTTTGAACAGAGAAACGCTGAGGTCGCCTAAGCCTCCCGATCAGCTATAGGAGTCATATGCTTCTCGCGTGTAAGAGCCTACGGTCTCTCATAACAAATAATATCAATACTAAACATATTCATGGGCGAATATTTAATCCACTAAATTATCAGCAATAGTGTTATAGCTGCTAGATAACTGTAGAACGTATTCTATAGCCCGACTGTGTGCTTTCCGAATACGATTGCAGTTTGTATCAAACGCTTCTGTCTTGACATAACCCTCCCTGTGTAACGTCGACACCCTCTGCCGCACGATCCATTCCCACGTTACACGCAACCTATTTTACGTTACCTACAAATGAAACGCTAACGGGAGAGCCTAGACATTGTTCATTGATGTGGGAGTAAGTGGCATCGTGTAAAATAATGCAATATATAAAAAAGACTCATAACCATCGGTTTTTTCGGACATGATTCAGGGTCAAGCTTTTAAGGGAACCAAAAATGTGTCACATATACACGCTGGGCTGAGGAGTAGTAATGAACTATTTATGCAAGAACGAAAAAAGTATACCAATTTTGGCATACTTGAAAAGCATGGGTTTGCATTTCGAGGTGCTTAACGTCGTAGGCAGATCACACACTCGGGGAATAATGAGACAGGAGAGCGAGATTGCGCCGCACTACGATCACCTAAATTTAATGAATCAAATTCGACTTAGCCGAAGGTAATGTGAAACGAGAAGCTGTCCTGTTCTTTACCTGCAGTGTTACTTAAATGAGGTCATAAAAGATCAGGCCAATATCGAACGAAAACGATCAGCTAGTTTAGATTTTTTAATAGATCGAACCTAAAATAGATGACGTATACGTCGAGCTAGTCTACGGTTCGAGCCCAAGTCAAAAATTGAATATTATATCAGACGTGTATTGAACAGATCTTCTGATTCATGATTAATAATGCATGCTCGGTTTGACGGCGTCCACCTCCACCCACGAGTGCGATTCGCGTCCTCGATACGAGCTATCAAAGTCACCTGCTTATTGCAACAAAAAAGCAAAGGTCTGTTCCAGCGCCTGTAGTCGGTGTCCTCTAGCCTCATATTTGCCACATTCTATGTGAACCAACTTCGCTCTGATATCCACTTTTCATTGAAAATCGTGTTTTTCGTCTTACTTCGCTCGTTCAAGAACAGCTTTTCAGCAAATAGTGCTAGCTGTGGGAAAATCATTTTCAACAATGACTAGGTAGCCCAAACAAAGAAACTACTGCTTCTTCGTATGAACCCCCCGTTTATAACCGTAGATGTTAGCTGCTGTTGAGTCACTTGGGAAGGTCCGAGGGTGTGGTCAATCTGATTCACTTTGTAGCCTACCTGAAAGGATATCCAAACTTGACGTCCACATGTGCTTTGAACTCCGCGCACTCAATCAAAATCTTGGCCGTCGTTGAATAGCCTGCCGTTATAGAGAAAGCCATTATCGCAAATACCTGAAGGCAAGAGGAAATTGTACATGGTTAGAAATGGTGATTTAAAAAAAAACCTAATATTGTATAGATTTTCTTCAATGGTTTAGTTATGAGAAAAGGATAAAGGAAAAGGAAAAAGTTCGGCTTTAATACTGTATACGAAGAACGGTTATCTAGCTTTTTTCATCAATTGACATTATTATTGAATCATTATGTGACTATTCTTCATAAGCTTCAAAGGAAACTCAATTAACTTAGATCACTCCATGTGTGTGTGACGATTGTAAATATGAAACTATAAAAAGTGATTTTTATCCTAGAGTAAGAAACTTGTTGCGGTATTCTTTCGATATACCCTTGTCTTGAAGGCCGCCGTATCGAACTCCATTTTGCTAATGGTTTGCAAATACGATGTTCTGTTATTATGAAGGTATAGATATCATTCTCTCATATACTGGTTGGCATGTTGTCCTAGTAGCCCTAAAGATGCCTTGCACGATAAATGGAGCGGATTTTCTAATTCGCTAGGTTGTTCCAGGGCGCATAACAGACTGAACCTAACCATAAGTTTACGTTAAGTCTATTTCTTTAATCCTATTTCTTTCTTGATTGAAAGGGCTTCGTTTGAGAAAATTTGTCCACATATCTTTCACCGATTATATTTGTCTCAACAGTAAAAGAATTCGATTTCATCTCCTAAACACTGTAAACTGAACTCAGCCGGCAATTTCTTTATAAAAATGGATTACGAGATTAATAACTTAAGAAGCTAAAATTCAAGGTAAATTTTACAAACTTACGTTAAATGTCGGTCTACATAATGATCCGATCTAAATTAGAAGGAGAGTTCAATGTGCCCTCTAAAATCGAATGCTAAACATCGTATGTCTCCTCATTGCAAAATAGTACATTGTTCAATGCGCCATTCGTGTTCGATGGCCAAATGTATTCAGAAAACCGTATCGTACGGTTTATCTAAACATGCTGTTCAGATTTTGTCTTCAACAAGTTAAGCAAATTATTCCTACGGGACTGGTGTGAAAGGCTAAACTTGAAGTAACGCTTCACTTTGAGGTGGGAGCGGAGGGGTAGATCATAAATACAGGGATAGACATATATATATATATATATATAGAGTATACAGGAATATCAACTACTCGATGTGCTTTATGTTAGATCTAAAACACAGAATAGCCTGTGATAGCAGAATAAAGTCGTATGCATCAAAGCGTGTCAAAGCTTACCGCCTGTAAAATGCGTATGAAGCCTCGAGGCTCCTTGAGGGCGCTGAAATGCATCTCCATGTTGAATCTGAAATATAAGCAGAAACCGATAGAAACAAGCGTGCGTTATTTAATGCATTCGGATTATGTGTCATTGAGTCGTATGAGGAACATATTTTTAATGGTTTAGGAGTACTGCCTATGTACTTCAATTAAACCTGAAGCAGTAAAATATATCCAAATATAAAAGATAATCAAGCACGATAGTCAACAAAAATTATGAATGCAGTATATACTAAGCGCATATTGTTTTGCTAGCGACGGCTTTACGAGTATATTCTCTTTGATAAGTTCTATTTTATTTTATGTAACTTAACCTTCACGAGCATTTCATCGATCAATGACCACGAAAATATGCTAAAGAATTGGAACAAAACGGACACTTTACCAAAGTTACCAAACTATAGATTTTAAGAACTAGAAATTATCTACCTAGATTAGTATTGCAATAGTCTTGGCTAATTTTCTGAAACAATGCTTCGCGGCTAACCTGAATATTATTCTATAATTGTACTTTTCATTTATCCTAATTTAATTGCTCTATATTTTTCGTTTAAAAACCTCCGTCCATGAATAATGTTCTATGCGATACCTGAAACGAACGTCTACAGTCGTACAACGTCACTTTTGTAGAAGACAAGGTAAGCTTCTTCTGATCTGAGCTACAGTGATCGATCAGCGATGTGGTATTTGTTTTCATACCCCAAACAGCGTAACCGAATTCTGCGTTACATCACTCTCACTTGCAACCCCCCGCCGGCACCTGCACATTTTCCTATTTTTTCCCCACCCATTTTCAGTATCAACGCAAACTTCGCAATAGTGCAGATAGCTGTCACCACGAATATGGCTGACCTCCTGAAGCAGCCATAGTTTAGACAGCGTTTCGCTGTATGCTAACTAGACAAGCTTCACCAAGTTTGAAGCCTTTTATGCTTGTCGTGTTCTCTCTCGCTAAGGGATGCTATGCGCGATCCACCTCCCTCGGGGTTACCTCCTAAAATCACTACAAAATCACTATGCGCCCATATTCACACGTCTCTACAGCCATATTTCGTTCGAGGAAAAATAAGCGGTGCCACAATTACGCATGCATATAGATAATTTACTAAGAGATGGTAGTGAACAAGCATAATTTGCCATCCTAACAGCAGCGCACGTATGTATCAAATGCATAGTGAATGCTGAAGTGATGGCCAGGGTTTGTTCGACAGCATTGGCAGTGAGACGCTGTAACGCCACACCGCCGCTAGTTCTCAACATATCCTTCGTAGAGACGAGAGAATCTCACTGAGCCTTCTCAGTTTGAACGCTACGCCCCCATTCCTGACTAGAATGTCTCGATGTCCCGGACGCGACTTAATATTGTTTCGATTTCTACAACATATGCTGTATGTAACTGTAGCTCTTTTCTAAGCAAGTTTGTTAATGACCATCTGTTTCCTTCAAGAAGCTAGGTTCTCGGCTGTGGAAGAGGGTTGTTATGGGGCAACACTGGCTGAAGCGATAGAATCAGTCGACGCTGAGCAACTGCGACTAACGGGGAAACAGGGAACTCCTCCCTGATCGGCCTGCCTGCCTCCCCCCGCTTTGGCTAGCTGAACGGCTGCTTCAGCTGCGGAACACGGGAGCGTGTAGCACAGCGGTAGCAGCCGGTGTCCTGCGTCGTAGGTCCCCTTTCCCAAAGGAGGCCTTTCCCAAAAGTAGGCTAGCTAGGCGTGGCAACCTGCGTGGATTCCAACCTGCCAACCTCTCGACGAATCGCTATCTTTGTGGACTCAGCATCGGAAATACGGTTAAGCCTGGTGGATAAAGCGGGCCCGTTCTCGTGAAATGAGCAGCGATAGTTTTGTTCTCATCGATGACAATTATCATGATGACAACAGAGGTGAAATAAACGAGGTTTCCCATGAAGCTCTTTCTATTAGTAGATTATTCGTACATATAGTACATTAATTAGATTGTTGAAAGCCGTAAGCGTGAAAGTATAGAAAACCACTAAAGTATCAAATGAAGCATTGTGGATATGTGCGTGCCTCGACCACGCAGTAATGCAACGTATGCTGTGTGAGCGCACCATATTATACACCTTACAAATAAATACCAATACGTCGTCGTTTGCTTCGTCAGCGAGATGAGCAGTCGATGATCTCATTCGAATGGGGTTTTCTACTTCATCATTACTAGGTCCCCGCCTAAGCTACAGTTGTATCAACTCGTCGCGTATACTTCTGTTGCATAAATATCGGCTGTGTTGTATTCTTTAATTTCTAGGCTTCATTAGTTGATATTTGTAATTGTGGCGGCAACGATGGTGGCGACGTCGGCATTCACATTCTCAGCATCGAAAGTAACGGCAGCACTAGTTGTTGCTCTACATTCATTGATTTTCGGAAGTAACCAAGAGTTAATTATGCTGAAAATCACTAGCTATTATGACCAGCTAGACAGCCAACTGCAGACTGTACGTTACAGACAAACGTATACAGACACGAATACATATTGCATTAACCAATAGCTATGCAAAGCAGTCGGCTGGTCAGCGAGCCAGTCAAACAGTGACTTTAGCAATGGCGTTATAGGAGTTAGGTAGTGATGCTGATAAACTAACGTTCGGACAAATATACGTCGCGCAAATAGTGCGCGTTCGCGCACCTTAGACTATTCAAACACTATCCTACTGCGTGTAATGCTCACTATATGCGAATCTATACCGAGAGATACAGACACACACGCAGGCACACCGTAAACACACAGAGCAAAGCCACAGACAGAACTAACAACGGGAGGAAATGAGTCACCATCGCGTGGACGGTGTACATGACCAGTTTGTCTGAACCGGTAAAGAGTTGACGTGGTCGACCCTTGCTATCCTATTCAGAACGTCACACTAATGGCAAACGGAACATTTCGAAATACATTGTTCTCGATGACGGTATTCCAAGGCTTAGCTGACGTTATTTTTTTTTTCTAACGAAGAGGAAAAATAGGCCGCTGCAAAACGGACAAAGATAATATTCTCTTCTTTAGTATATATGTGAATCCCAAACGTCTTTTTAAAGAAAAAAAATTATAGACCTGGTTAACCTTTACTTCAACGCTAGATTTATCAGTAATGGCTAATTCGACTGTTTGCTAGTTTTTGTAGAAATTTAAACGTTATCATGTAAGCAGTAAACTTTACGCACTCGAAACCTACGTTTAATTATAAGAATGATAACTTCTACGTTCTGATCGGGGCCGGTTGGGATGAGGATATAAAAGGTATCGGTGGATTTAGTGTCAATAAAAGAAAGAAACTGTGATTCTAAATGAATAGGCAGCCTACTGCGTCTGTGACATCGTTTACCAACCAGTGATCTATATTGTACCCGCTGGATATCTTCCCGCCTCGCTAACAATATACTTACGAAAAGTAAATAATTTAATTCGCATTGCAACGTAGACAGCACACGATTCAAAACGAATATAGGCAGTGTTCGTGCCAGTCGGCGGTCCCGATAAAATCCAATTAAAACCTCTAGCTGCAGGAGTAATTCCGCTTAATTTGCCAATCCTGGCCTGATTTCGTTCTATTTATATGAGACTATCAATAATTACTTCGTGTTGTTTTAAGTCTATTTAGTCTGATTTCCAGACTCATTACTTAGTCTGTGACCCCAAGGCGTTTGCCTTAAACAACAAGGGACCTTTGTCAAAAGAAGGCTAAATAAGTCAGATATTGTCGTTGCCAACAGATATATTATCGATGTTGATTTTTAAAGCGGCGACCAAGACAGCGAGAAACGGCAAACGCCTGTGGCACTTATTCTCTGTGATCAAGCAGCTGCACTTAGTTGATGTAATAGCGAGCTGCATCGTTGACCGCTAAGCAGCAGCACCAGCTGGGTCTATTTTCGTAAGTTATTTCCGTAGTACGACAGCTGCAGCATCACTCGTCTAGTACTTAGTAAGCAGGCTAGCATATCGCGGTTCCCTGTGCCTTCCGCCGTAGTACATCTTTCCGTTTGTCTACGTATGTGTGCTGTTTGAATTTTCCCGCGTCCTTGTTTAATCGAGCGATGACAGAAGGGAGAGGGCAGGCACCGGCAGCCATTTTGAGAGCAGCAGCAGCAGCGGCGACAGCGGCCATCGTTGAACCGCTGGTGTTGGTACTTTCCAACGGAGTAGCAGCCATATTGGTAGACATCAGCGAGCAGCGAGCATCCGCCTACAGTGAGTCGGCTACGGGGTCCTCGTGTCGCCGAATCTCTTAGCGGCCCCCACATCGTGTCGCTTTGTGTGAGAGTGTGCACCTCTAGTCGTTCTCCTCATCGTTCAGTCTCTGCTGAGTTATCGTCGGATCGTATTAGTGTGTTTGTAGCTCGACGAGGAGACAGCGATTCGGCCTCCTCACAGCAGCGGATTCCCTCGTGTATGTGGTGTGCGGCGAGTTATTTAACTACGGCGAACTGAAGATCCCAGCCCGAGCGTGAAATACCGACAGGTAACAGTATTCATCGGTGTGTGAAAGCTAATCGCTAGCGTTGTGACTGCAGTGCTGTTATACGCCGAGCGGTTGTTCGCCGTTGAATAGCAAACGTTCGCTGTTGTGCTTTGAAACCCCGTGGACGGACGGACGGACGGACTTCTGTGTCACCACCCGCTTAACCGGCATCCCAGCGTTGATTGTTTTGCAGTTCCCTAACACGTACAACTAACGAAATCAGCTTACGATGTCTTGGCAACAGTACGTTGACAACCAGATCTGCGCCTTCGTGCAGGCCAAGTCGGCAGCGATCGCTGGTCTCAATGACGGCTCGATTTGGGCCAAATTTGAATTGGCGCCGAATAATGCGATCACGTCAGCCGAGATGAAGACCATTGCCGAGAACATGCGTACGAAGCCGCAAAAGTTTCAGGAGACGGGCATACATCTTGGTGGTGAGAAATACGTCTGCCTGAATGCCGAGGAGAAGCTTGTGCGCGGTCGTAAGGGGACCTCGGCCATGTGCATCGTGGCAACTAATACCTGTCTGCTCGTCGTTTCGACCGTCGATGGTTTTCCGGCTGGCCAACTCAACACCGTTGTCGAGAAGCTCGCCGATTATCTCCGTCAGAGCAACTACTAACAAGATACCACTGTAACTTCCAACACGAAACGGAGCGAGAGAGAGAGATTACCGAATTCCCCATACACTATAAAAAATGACAACATCGACCTACAACAATACTAAAGTAAAAAAGACTTACCTATACACAATCATAATTATAATAATTATAATTATAGTATATAATGGCGACACACAACAGGGGTGTAACAAGCTTCTTCAAACTACTGCGTTCTTGCCTCCATCCGAGCTGTTATCCCCTACTAAGAACACGAGAACGACATTGTGTCGTAGTTGAGAGCTGGGAAGACGTGAACCAACCACTACTACAAGCAGATTTGTTCAGTATCTAACGTCCACGAGAGACGGCTGTCTCTCTACGACTAGTGAGCCTCCACTTTCTCTTAGATTCCTTTAATATCTCCCACGCCTTGCATCCCCACAGAGCCCCACCTCTCGAATGGCCGTTCTTATAGGATCAGTTTCAATAATCGTTTCGGATGTACAGTAAGTACATCTATAAAAGGAAAGAAAAAGCGAGAGAGCAATCCTGATTAAACTATTTACATGACAACAGATAATGAAACGCATTTTGTTCTAATTCATAATAAAATACTTGTTAACTATCAATGGTAATCGGCTATATTTTGCCCCGCTCCCCATTTTCCCCACTCACTTTTGCGCCCAGCCACTCCCTTCTAGAGACGCCACCATCAGCTACACCATATCCCTATTCCATCTGCAATTGCCGTATAGGCTCCTAACTGCTCTGAGTCATATTTATACATATATATA